CTTACGTCCCTTAAACATGGTGTAGTCTAGTGTAAAATCTCACTTCCAAAACAAAGACAGGCCACTGTGATTCTACAGCTCTGCTTCTATTTATAGATGTGGTTCATTAACAATGGACATTTAGTTTTAATTTTGTGTCTAAAGGCCTTTAGGTATAATAATTTTTCTCCAGTTCTCCACAGACTCTACGGCTTCTTATTAGTTTATATAAGGCTGGTTCATACCTATCTGTTTGCTACCTATCTGGCCACTGAAGGCATTTAAGTTTACAAACCCAAGGTTCACCCGAATGGATTAAATCCACCATAACCAGCAAGGAGAAGTACTTTATCTCAAAATTATAACACATGCCATGTAGCCCTTATTGGAAATATTTTTGCCTGTCATGCACAGACCCATGACAGCTATGAGGAGTAAGACTCTAGCGGCCAAAACTAATAGCCTTATTCATTACCCACCAGAGGGCAAATTATTTACATGTATAACAATGCATTTGAAACCCATTTTCTAAGCATCATCATCAATTTCTTTCTACACAAAAGAGGTTCATTTAAACGGTTCTCAGGGCATAGAAACCATTGCCCACAGGAAGCAGCAGAGAGAGCTTCATTCTCAAAACTGAGCATCATTAACTTGTCAAAATAAATGCCAGGCAGAAACATAGCAAGGGAATACAGTGTCTACAGGCAGAGCAGCCTGAACCCTCTGTAAAACAGCCCCGCATGCCCAAAAGCAGCCCGAGACTAAACCAAGTTTGGCAGTGGCAATTAGCCTGAGTGGATGTCGCTTTCCCCCTTAGACAGATTTGTTGACAGTGCATCCCAGAAAGTTATTAAGTGTCTCCTTTCATGAGCCATAATTATGTTTTTATATGTGCTTAGATTCGCTAGAAACAAGGAAACGCAGGCACTATATAAACAGAAGCATTAATGATATAAACCTCACCTAGAGGACAGGAATGACACAGCCTGTCTCACAGTCCTAAATGGCAATGGCGGTAGTTTGCCACCTGTCCCCTCTGCGACTTTTCTCCTTTGGTTCCTCTTATCTCTCTCTCATCGTCACCTACCATTTCTTCAGGAGACTTGATGCAAACGAGTTTGTGGAATGGACTAATAGCGGCTCCCTTTCTCATCAGGTGTAGCCAGCCACAACTCTCCCCAGCCACAGGACTTCTTGTCCCTGCTGGTGAGACTTGAACTCTTAAGTTCTCCGTCTTGACAAATAAAGTCAATCAATTTGCCTCCTAGCTTCAGTGTGTGGCTCGGAAAGTCATTAATACGCAAGTTAGCCATACAGGCTGTGTATCCGTTGTGTACTTTGAAACGGTCTGGTTGGATTCTGTGTTGTCTTCCAAGACCACTTTCCCCGTCTCTCCCCACTCAGTTTGTTTTTCACTGAGAGACAGGCCATAGTTCTGTCAACGACAACTGTATTACCCAGTTCAGTGAAGTCGCCCACTTTATCGCAGTGTGAGCGTCCCTCTCCACATTCTCCACGCTACCCAGAAAATTCTTTCCAGAAACTTCTTTGGCTTGCCACACTTCAAAGTAAGCAACCAATTTAGGAAATTGGAAAGAATTGAAACTGCAAGGCTTGTAAGAAACTGAAAGTCAGAGGGAGTTATGTTGGGAGGTCAGGCAATGTCGATCAAAGAGAAGTGAGGAAACCAAGCAAAGCAGGGGGGTCACTGCACACACTCACGCACACACTTGCACACGCACGTGCACACATACACACACACACACACATGTCTCTACTATATTGACAGAAATGCAAAACATTTTGCGTTCAAGTATTCTGTAAGCTTACATTCTGCTTTTCACAGGTCAAAACTACTGCAAGATTGCAAGCAGGGCTGCCCTTCTCAGAGGGCAGTTAATCCCCCGTTCACCTGTCACGAGTTATTTCCTAGTTGGAAAACACTGTCTTTTCAAGATTCTGCTCTCAATTACAAATCCTAATCTCAAACACCATACTGGTTAGTTTTGTGTCAAAAACTAGCGTCCCCTGGGAAGAAGAAGGCTCAGTTAGGGAACCACCCAAGGGAAGGCTCAGTTAGGGTACCTGGGCATGTTCAGGGGATATTTTCGTGATTAATAATTGATGTGGGAGGACCCAGCCCATTGTGAAAGGGTGCTGCTCCTGGGAAGGTGGTCCTGGTTGTGTAAGCAAACTGACAAGCCCGTGGGAAGTCAGCCAGCGAGCAGTATTTCTCTACCGTTCCTGCCCTGACTGCCCTCAGCAACGGACTGTGACAATGGAGTGTAAGCCAAGGAAAACCTTTCTGCTTTTGTTCAGTGCGGTTTATCACAGAAACCTAGCCGCAAACTAGGCGCAGTTCAGGGGAAAGACAACGAAGGGGGCTAAAAAAGAGGAAGAGAGAAAAAGAAAGAGGAATATGAAAAAATGGCCTGATAAACTCTTACCAGTTACAAGTGTTTTAATGCATAGAGCAAAGACAGCCAAGGATATTAGGAGCATAGTAAGAAATTTTCTTATCAAAAAAAAAAATTCTCCCTGCCCTTGTAACAAAGGGTATTATGGGTATTATATTTCCACCACCCCCCCCCAGAAAATAGAAAAGTAGAAGCAAAGAATAATGCCCCCAAAGCTACCCATACCCTAATCTAATCCTCAGAACCTGTGAACATGTGCCTTTTTTTTTAGATGTTATTAGATGTGCAGGCCTTTTTTAAAAGCAGGGTAGTCCTGGCTGTCCTAGAACTCATTCTGTAGACCAGGTTGACCTTGAACTCAGAGATCTGCCTGCCTCTGCTTCCTACACGCTGGGATTAAAAGTCGATGTCCAGGTCTTTAGATAGAAAGATTATCACAAATGAAAAAGCAGAGCTACTTCTACTTTTTCATATATTTCACGGTTCCTGCCTCTCTAGTGCAAAGAAAGAGAAGAGACACTGAATGAGCTTGGTGGAGTTTGGTTTGGTTTGGTTTGGTTTGGTTTGGTTTGGTTTTGCTTTGTTTTGTTTTAAAGAAAATTAGGAGAAGGTTGGGGAAGACATCTCAATCAGTGGGGTGTTTCTCTTAGAAGCACAAAAATCTGAGTTCATTTCCAGAGCCGATGTCCAAAGAAAAATAGAGGATAAATAGTTAATAAAAGATAAATAAGTAATGGCCTCTACCTGAAGATAAGTTGCAGGCTTTAGAACATCTGGTAAAGAGCAATGAGATGCTCAACATGTTAAAAATCCACCAGCCCTTGGAATTCTCCTGCATTTGTTGTATGAAAGAAATCTGGTAAAAGGACAATGGTGACAAATCTAAAAACTGTCAATTAGGTATTTCAACCTATGATCACTCTACAATCTGGAATCCCTCTGAAGTCTCTATTACTAAAATGATGGCCTCTATTGCTTATTAATTTGAATGATTGTTTCTTCACTATAACTTTACAATAAAAAGATAGAAAAAATGAAAAAAAAGATCGATAAGTAATAAAATATATTTAAAATAGGCAAATAAATAAAGCAATAGAAATAGATTAAAGTAATATATTAAAACCAAAATAATTTTTTAAATAAGTAATAAAAGGTCTGGGCTTGGTAGTACTTGCTTGCAATCCCATTGCTAGGAAGGCAGAAATGGGCAGACCCTAGCTAACTACTTGCCAAGAGATCAAGATAGTGAGAAAGCCTGTTTCAGAAAAGATGGGCAATGCCTGAGGCACAACACTTGAGGCTGTACTCTGGATCTCTGCTCACACATACAGACATACGCGGATGTGCGTATGCATGTACGCACATATATGCATATACACGAGAAAATGTATTTCCACTTTTTATCTGTATATGTGTGTATGTGTACTGTATGCATATGTGTAGGTAGTGCGCTTGCTTGGAGGTCAGAGACCAATAGTAAGCATTTCCTCTATTGCTTTCTACCTTAGTTTTTGGGACAAGGTCCCTCACTGAACCCAGACCTCACTGACTGGCTACATTTGCTGGCCAGCAAGATTCAGGGATCTGCCTCCCACTATGACCACCACCACCTAGCTGGGATTATGGCACATGCCATCATACCTAATAGCTGGGTGCTGAGGAATTGAACTCGGGTCCTAATGCTTGCATAGCAAGCACTTTACCCAATGAGCCATTTCCCAGGCGAGAAAAATTATTTCTTGTTGGGAGTAAAGAGCATTCTTTCAATATATAACTGTGGCAAACACACTCAATGGAAGGCTGCCTCTCCATACCAGGAAGCTATACTCATTTAAGCTTTCTGTCCCTGCATGCTGGGGAGCCTCTAAACCTCTTTCTACTCCTAGACTCTGAACGCACGAAAAAGTAAGGTGTGTAAGCTTTCTAGATTTGACTCTTTAACATCTTAAACACAACATCCAACCCTTCCTTTCCTCCTGCATCACTTGTCTGGGGAAGACCCTTCCTGATATCATAACATTGAATTAGTCTTTGCTGAGTTTCTACTTCGAATAACTGCTGAGCCTGAGTTGCTAACTGCTATCTCAAATCATATCTGATTATAACCATATCAACTTGCTAAAGAAATAACTCTAGCTGCAATTCCTACTCTGCCACAAATGCACGCCTTTTACTATGACAAATATTTCCACAGGATTCAGTAAACTACAGCTATAGGTCAAATCTAGCCCAGTTCTGGGTTTTATGAATAAAGTTTTATTGGAATACACACATAAGCATTCATTTATATATTATCTATGGCTATTTTTTGTTTCAAAGCAGCTGAACTAATTTTGTCAATAATTACACAGCTCTCAAACCTAAAATACTGTCTAACCCTTTATATCGCATCTAGCCAACCTCTATATAGGAAGATTAAAATACATATTTTAGTAGTTAACAAACCAAGAGTTCATTATCTTTTGCAAAACGAGAACATAGCTAGGGTGAAATTATGCTCTCCCCAGAACAATTGCCTAGGGTTCACAGTTACTGGCCATGCACTTTATTTTACCATACAATTAAGCACCAAGCAGACTTTTCAGTTGAAAATTAACTCACCGTGGCTAGCTTCTGAACGTCATCATCGGATGCTCCCAGGGACGCTAAGCCTATTTCTTGAGAAAACTGAGCAAATTTCGGATCTGCAAGCAGTGGAACATGTCCCAAGAGTTCATGGCATGTATCTCTGTAAGGGAAAAAAAAAACAATCCTGAAGTCATGTCACACAAGAGGCTTTAAACTACCGTAACCTGTAGAACAAGACTTGAAATCCTAAGCAGAATCGTATTCTATAAATGATTACCATTAATCATACTTGAAAGGCAAACCCCGCCTATGATTAATGACACTTACGTCGGATGATAAATCACACATTCATTTGTAGTGAGGGACTGAAAGTGTGGAGAGAGGACACGTGCCCATGAGAGCACATGCTTGTGTGCCCACGAAGGCCAGCGACCATCCCAGATGTCATTCCTTAGGTGCCAGGCACCATTTTTTTTTTCCTCTTCTGAGACAGAGTCTTCTGTTGGCCTGGAACTCACCTAGTAGACTCTCTGCCTAGACAGTGAGCCCTGGATTCATCTGTCTCTGCCTCCTTTCCTCTGGAACTTGACTTTTTTTTCTTACATGGGTTCTGAGCTCAAACTTAGGTCCTCAGGCTTGAGATCCAAGCACTTTACCAACTGAGCCATTTCTTCAGGTTGGGGTATAATCATTTTAATAAAGCACAATAAAAGCCATTGCTTTGGGGGAGATGGCCCTCCCTGCCGTATAGCCAGGGGAGGTCTGGAACCTGTACTCTTCCCAGATCTGCTTTCTCGGGTGAGAAGCCTACCCAACAGGCGTGAGCTACCACTTCAAGACGCCATTTCTGTTTCTGAGAACATGTGTTGGTTTTACATTTGATAACTTGTCATTCTCCAGACAGCCTTAGCAAACAGCTCTTCTTGGTGCAAGATCCTGCAGGTCACGATGGACAAGCTCCTAAGATCGCTCACCATTTGACCACCATGTCATAAACCAAGTTTGGCTGAAGCACAGCTGTGCCCGTTTATACGCGTACTATCGACAACTGTCGTTTTTTTGTCAACAACGGCAGATTCAAATTGCTGTAGCTGAGATCCCAGTTCCACTAATCCTAAAATAATTGCTAGCTGACCCCTTCGTAGGGACAGCTTGCTGGTTCTCAGCATAGGTAGCAATAAACTAAATTAAATTGAGGCCAAGAGTTGCCTTTGAAATTGAGTCCTTGTGTGACCACTGCAGCCTAACTTGGTAGAGAGTGACTGAAAGCCTAATTTGGGAGTAGAGTCTTGTAACAAATGACCGAGTCTTAGCCAATTCCAGCAGCCCGGCTTCAATCACAGGTGGCTAGCTGATTCAAATAAGGCAATCACCCAGGTACCATCAGTTAAACTGTCCCTGCAGGTCACTTTCATTTTGTGCCCATAATGGTTCTCTGACCACCTTGCAGCCTTGGCTCACTGGGGCTTTAAGGCCCAATTCGGAAATCATAAATAAATGCCTATTGAGTGTGTGTGTGAGAGAGAGCGGGTGTGTGTGTGTGTGTGTGTGTGTGTGTGTGTGTGTGTGTGTGTTGCTTGTAATTGAACCACTTGTAGTTTTTAGACTAAAACTGTTGTCTTTTGGCAATAGTGCTAAAGCCGAAATTTGGGTTTAGCTTGTTAGGATTTTGAAAGCCTTGTGCTCATCCTTAAATTCTTGTGTGCCCTTGTGAGTCTTCACGGGGTCCTGAGAAACACCAGAGGTTGTCGTCAAAGTCACTGTCCGGGGAGATTTGCTCTGTGGGCACGTGCTCAGCTCCTTTGAGAAAGAGCCTTAGAAGACCTTCCCAGTTCCCAGATCTCGACATGAAGCTGGAAATAGCAAAAGCCTGCAATGTTCTCTTTTGCTTGAGCTTCCAATTTGGAGCTGGGTAAGCAGACAAGGGATGGGTATGCGTCACAACTGAATAAGGCAGTCACCCTCCTAAGTCATTGTCATGAATTATAAACTGTACTCTGAGAGCAGGGTGCACTGAAATTAGCTTTCCCATGACTCTCTCAGCTTGGATCGAGATGCAGAAAGATTTACGCTCATGATTAAAAAAAAAAAAAACAGATGCCTATATAGTAACTGAACGATATTTCTGAATTCACCGGTGCTGAAATGTATCACTTCATAGTTGCTGGGAAACCAAAGTCTGGTGCTGCAGCCATTATTACAAGAACAAAGTTGGGTGGATGTAATGAATCGTGGTAAACGGTATGAGTTTGATACCCACGTAAAACAGATGATATCACTCAAGCAACTTTGAGCTCACAACTCAAACCACATGGCCAAGACAGACCAGGTTGAGTGTTTATATGTGTGTAGTAACCCCGCCCCTTTGTTCAGCAGGATGCGATGCACCGCCTTCCTGTCCAACTAAACACACGAAACTTCAGAGGGGCTGTAAGTTCTCCAGCTTGTGTGTCCTTGGGTCTGTTTCTCCTCATTCCCTTGATGCCAGAATCCCAGAGCTGTGCAAGAATGAGGCAGGAAAGAATAGACTGAGAAGGCTGGGGATGTGGGTCAGTGGTTAAGGCCCTTGCTAAACAGGCATAAGGACATGAGTTTGGATCCCCAGCGCCCAGGTAAAAAGCATGGCATCTGTAACCCCAGAGCCCGAGGGATGGAGACGAGCTAGCCAGAACAGTAAGAAGCTCCATCAGTTCAATAAGAGACCCTGTCCCCAAAACTCAGCTGGAGAGTGACTCACACATGCACACACTCACACACATGTGCATGCACACATGTACACATACATGCATGTACACAAGAAAGTGTATTGAAACTTTATGAATTGGATACAGTGCTTAAAGTTTCGTGTCATGTGAACGATTTAATCTTCCCTCGCAATGAAGCTCTATTATGATAACCTTTGGACCAGTGGGGAAACTAAAATTGTGTAAACTTAATATTCTCCGTGGTTCTGACTTTGGACAAGACTTGAAATTCTTCTGGTTCAAAGTTGCATTCTTTCTGCTCTCTGCTGGTTTAATTTACAGATACAGTATAAATGAGGAGGAAGCCATGTCTCAGAGCATAAGACAGCATAACCAATACAGTTAGCATAAGGAGAGCCGTAGATAGCATGAACTGAGTCTCCTTTTCTTCCACTTCTAGCCCCATGTGTCCAAATCACTTGAGGGGCCTTTTTAAAATACCAAGCATCTAAACTCCACTCATGACCAGTTCAATCAGGCTTCCTGGAATTGACCGGGAAATCATTTTTTAAAGCTTCCCAGGTAAAACGAGCCACAGCTGGAGCCAAGACCCATTCTCACGGCTAATGGCACCGGACTCTCTCCCAGCAGGCTGGCAAAGAAGCAATGGTTAAAATTTAAGCTGGAGGTGTTTCTATGATTTGAGGAAACTAAGCGGCTTTCCCCTAAAGTTGCATCATAATCCTGGAGAATAACAGAAAGCCATGGCTGAATACCAGGTAGCTAATTACGCCTCCACCCGCTGTCAACTCAGGCGCATGCCTCACATTTCCACGCTGTGAGAACTCTGGTCTCATTCCTGCGGTCTACATCAGTGCTGGAATTAAGGTCAAGCGGCCTGCCCTGGAAAACTCTGGGCACTCCCATATTAGCCTTTGTGATAAATACTGAAGCACCCCTTCTGGTCTTGGAAGGAATGCAGCAACAATAATAACTCCACATCAGACCAAATATCTAGCACCTAGAAAAAAAAATATTGAGACTGGTATTAGCCTAGTATCCGTAAATCATGGGAGCAGAAAGGAGACAAACAATTAGTGAATGCTGTACTGAGCCAGGCATGGTGCTGGGTGCCTTACACGGTAACAGAGTAAGTCATAACTACAGTAACGGTTGATTCTTGGAATATTGTCAAATAAACCGAAAAGCCTGATTTATTGTAATTTACTGGGAATTTAAAAGCCTTACATAGAAGGACAGTCTCCCATGTAAGACTGTAAGAACAGAGACCTAAAAGTCACTTCAAAGTAAAAGTCAGCCGCTACAAAGGGGGAAAAAAAGCACAAGATGGCCAAGAACACAAAGAAGTCAGTTCTCAGTGGGAAGGGCTATGACTTGTATTTTAAATTAAGGTGTCATTATCAGAAGCCAGTAACGCACTATCCAACTTAAAAAATCTCCATGATCCTCCCAATAACATGATAGGCACACTGTATAGAGGGTAAAAAAAAATATGAATTTGGAAGAAGCAAGTCATACAGTGTAACAGAGGGAGTTATACTGTCCCATTAAGGATGAATGCCTGAAGCGAGATGTCTAACAGAATCCTTAGCAGAACGTTAGGGATGGCCTTCGCTCCGTGATGGGTAGAGATGATTGTGCCATATTCACTAGTTTGTGCTCTCTTCTCAATTTCGACTCCACGCGGGAGCCCTGAGAAAGATTCCTGAAGAAAATCTGGATGCAGAATATATAACAGCCTTACTTCTCCTGGACCAACGCTACCAGGTCCCGTATTTCAAGGCCAAGAGTGAGGTTATTCTCCTTTAGGGCTGGTGGGACATTGAAATAAACACTGTACTCTTCTGTCTTCCCCTGCCTTGGAGAAAGGCAGATAAAGAAGGAAGTGCCCATAAACACGGAAACCAATGAGCAAAGAAAGATTTTCAACACTTATGATAAACACACACACACACATACACACACACATTATAGGCTGGAGAGATAGCTCTGCCATCTCTGCATTTGTTATTCTTGCAGAGGATCTCGGTTCAATTCCCAGCACCCACACGGCAACACATAGCCATCTGTAACTCCAGTTCAAAGGCATCTTCTGGCCTCTGTGAGCACCAGAAATGCATGCTGTGCACATGTAGACAGGCATGCTGCACACATGTAGACATGCAGAAAAAAACTCTTAAACACAGGAAATAAATCTGAAACCATTTCTAAAGAACCCACTAAACTATGAAAAGGCACATTTCCTTTTGCTTCTCTCTGAAGGACATGGAGCTGAGGCTGAGCACAGCTTTAGGAGTTTGAGAGGTGCCGGGGTGTAGCGCACGAGAGGAGCCTCCTCTCCAGCCTTTTTGCCAGCCGAGGCCTGTGGGACTGAAGCCGGGCTACTTCACCCTATTTTGCTGCTGCTATGCCCTGCCTGTAAACCAGACCATGGCACCTCTGGCCATTGACTTCT